TTTTAGATGGTTTATTGCAAGTATATAAAATACTGATGGTGTTTTATTTTTTTGGTGTATATAGAGGTAGAGATGTGGTCTTGCTACATTGCCCAGGGGCTGGTCTTAAACTCCTAAGCTCAAGCAATCTTCCTGCCTCAGCTTCCCTAATAGCTGAAAAACTGAAACTAGAGGTGTGCCCCATCACACCCAGCAACACAATTGATTTTTTAAAAAGTTTTTTGTTATTGTAGATGGACACTATATCTTTATTTATTTTATTTTATTTTAGATGTATGGACTTTTATTCGTTTATTTATATGTAGTGCTGAGAAATGAACCCAGTGCCTCACACATGCTAGGCAAGTGCTCTGCCACTGAGCCACAACCCCAGCCCTACAATTGATTTTTAGTAGATCCTTAGGATTTTCTGTGTATAAGATCATGTCGTCTGCAAGTGTAGTTTTGTTCTTACTTTCTTATCTAAACTCCTTTTCTTTTTCTTGCCTAATTGCCTTAGTTAGAAATTCCAGAACAATGATCAAGTAGCAAGAATGAACATCCTGGTCTTGTTTGTGATCTGACAGAGAAAGCATTCTGGCTTTTTTTTTTTCAGTATTGGGAATTGAACCCTGGGCATAATGCTCTGTAAGCATTCTACCACTGAATTACACCCCCAGCTTTTTCAAAATTTTGTTTTTATTTTTATACAAGTTCTTGCTAAGTTGCCCAGTCTGTCCTTGAATTTGTGATCCTCCCAAGTGGAAATGTGGTATTAGTTTGAGTTTTTCATAAAAGTTCTTTATCAGGTTGTACAAATTTTTTGGAGAAGCTCTTAAAACTTGTAGATGCTCAAACTCTATCAATAATATGTTTCACACTTACTGTGATGTGAGATGAAGTCTCAGTGTAGTTTTGATTTGCATTTCCCTAATTGCTAGGGAATTCACTGATTCTAGGAAGGACCAGATATCTTTAGTTGTTTGGGGGGAAAAAAAAAAGTATCCATGCCCAGGGTTGAGAGCATCTGTCTGCTAACCTGAATGAGGTGTAATTATATTTCATTTTATTCAAGCCTATCCTGCCATTTTCATTCTTCTCTCTCAGCTGAAAACCTTGAATTTTATATCATCAGTTCCCTAATGCTGTATCTGTAATTCTAATTCTTTTGGATGTGAAACTGAAAAATAACTACATTGCAGAGATTAGCTTCTTTATATCTACCAGGTCTGAATAACATGTGGTATTAAATTTTATTTTTACCTATAAGCAATATAAGCTGCTTGATCACCCTAACTCTACTACTAATTTCCTTCCTCATAGCTGAATTAGTTCTCAAAACATAATTTTTTCCTGGTGTTAGGGATTGAACCCAGCACCTTACACATGCTAAGCAGATGTTCTACCACTGAGCTATATGTATCCCAGGCTCAGAACATAATTAAAAATAATTTTTATAAGTTGTTTTCAGCCTCCTTTCTCAATCTTATTATTTCTTGTGATTAACATATTAAAATTAGAACTTAAAATTTATAAGAAATAATTTATTTTGACTTTGAGTAATTAAATTATTTTGCTTCTTTAGGACACCATGTAAAATTGAACCCAGTATAAACCACATTCTAAGCACCAGAAAGCCTGGAAAGGAAGAAAGAGATCTTCTGCAAAGAGTTCAAAGCCATCAGCAAGAGTCTGAGGAAAAGAAAGAGAAGATGATGTATTGTAAGGAGAAGATTTATGCAGGAGTCGAGGAATTCTCCTTTGAAGAAATTCGAGCTGAAGTTTTTCGGAAAAAATTGAAAGAGCAGAGGGAAGGTGTGTGTGTTGAACTAATTTAAACTTGTGAAAGTAATTTATTTGTAGGAGAGTTGAACTAATTTATTAAATCTGAGGAAAATTGTCCACTTTATAGCTTTATATGCTATTTCTGTGGTTGTATAGTTTCTCTCTTTATATGTGCTCCACTTCCATTGCTGCCTGTCACAAAAACACAATGAAGAAAACTGAGTCTGTGCTCAGGAATAAAGGAGAAGAAGCTCTGAATGCAGGAACAATTCATATTCTACAATATAATCAGCTATGATCCCTGACATGCACACATGTGCGTGTCTTGCCTTTCCATTAAGTACTTTTCTTTTTTTTTTTTTTTTTTTTTTTTAAATCTAATTTACATTTTTTTTTTTTTAAGAGAGTGAGAGAGAGAGGGGGACAGAGGGAGAGAATTTTAACATTTATTTATTTTTTTTTAGTTCTCGGCGGACACAACATCTTTGTTGGTATGTGGTGCTGCTGAGGATCGAACCCGGGCCGCACGCATGCTAGGCGAGCGCGCTACCGCTTGAGCCACATCCCCAGCCCCCAAGTACTTTTCTTAATGCGTCCTGAAATATTTCACTGTACCCTTGATACTCCAAGGACTTTTTTGTTTTGTTTTGTTTTCCTTTAACTCTGCTAAAATGTTTCTTAAAATTTTTTCCACATATTTTAATTGGTATATTATAGTTGTACATAACAATGGTATTTGTTGTTACATATTCATACAGACACACAATATAGCAATATAATTTAGCCAATATCACTTCCCAACACTTTCCCTTTCCCTGTTTCCCATCCTTATTTCCTTTCCTCTATTAATTTTCCTTTGATTTGCATGAGATCCACCCCCATATTTCTTTTTCTTTTTCTTCTGTAGCTTTGGCACATGAGATAAAACATGTCCTTACACCTTCTGAGTTACTTTGCTTAACATAATGGTCTCTAATTCCATCCATTTTTCTGCAAATGACATAATTTTATTTTTCTTTATGGCTGAATAAAACTCCATTGTGGATATATACCACATTATCTTTATCCATTCATCCTTTCATGGGCACGTAGACTAATACCATAGTTTGGCTATTGTGAACTGGGCTACTATAAATCTGGGTATGCATGTGTCACTATAATATATGATGATTTAAATTCTTTATGATAAATTCTGAGGAATGGTATAACTGGGTCATATGGTGGTTCCATGCCTAGTCTTTTGAGGAACCTCCATACTGATTTCCATAGCGGCTGTACTAATTTACAATCCCACCAATCATGTAAAAGTGTTCCTTTTTTCCTTCATCTTCTCCAGTATTTATTATTTGTATTCTTAATGAATGCCACTCTGAATGATGTGAGATGAAGTCTCAGTGTAGTTTTGATTTGCATTTCCCTAATTGCTAATGATGGTCAACATTTTTTTTTTCATATATTTGTTGGCCATATGTATATTTCTTTTGAGAAGTGTCTGTTTAGTTCATTTGCCCATTTATTATTTGTTTTTTGTTTTGAGGTTTTTTTTTGTTTGTTTGTTTTTTTAGTGTGAAGTTTATATCTTCTGGATATTAATCTTCTGTCAGAGAGTAGCTAGCAAAGATTTTCTCCCATTCTGTACATTCTCTCTTTACATTCCTAATTATTTCCTGTGATGTGCAGAAACTTTTTAAAATTTGATGACATACCATTTATTCACTTTTGGCATTAATTCCTCAGTTTTAGGGGTCCTGTAGAAAAAGACATTGCCTGTGCCTGTATACTGGAGTGTTGGCCCTACATTTTCTTCTAGAAGTAGCATAGCTTTCTGGTTTAATTCCTAGGTTTATTTCTGTGTCATCTTTTCTGTACCATTGATCTATGTGTCAATTTTTCATGTCAGTAACATGCAGTTTTTGTTATTATAGCTCTGTAGTGTAATTTGAAGTCTGGTAGTGTGATGCCTCCAGCACTTGTGTTTTTTTATTGTTGTTGGGGGTGGCTTAGAATTGTTTTGGCTATTCTGGGTCTTTTATTTTTCCAAATGAATTTTAGATCTGTTTTTCCTAGTTCTGTGAAGAATGTCATTGATATTTTGATGGGAATTGCTTTAAATATGTATTACTTTTGGCTGTATGGTCATTTTTACATTCTTAATGTCTGGGAGGTCTTTTCATCTTCTGAGTCCTTCTTCAGTTTTTTTCTTCAATGTTCTATAGTTTTCATTACAGTGGTCTTTTACCACCTTCTCCAAGGACTTATTTAACAATTTTGTCTTACCTCAGTCACTTACAATAGTTATTTTTATTATCTCTTAAAGATATTTTCTTTCTAAATTGAAGGAATCTTTATTATAAATTGAGAAAGTGGGAATTTCTTGGAAATGGAAAACACTTCCTGTTCTGGTACCTATAGTATTTAGAAGCAAGATATAGAGCAGAATGGTCTGGGTTCAATCCCTAGGGTGCATTTCTTCACCCCACTCTAACCCCCCTAAAAAAAGGAAAAGAAAAAAAGATAGGCAGAATAGAACATGAGGACATGAGGAAGAATAAGAAGGATATAGAAAAGGAGGAGACGAGTGCCATTGCCCCTAGCCTATCACTTCTATAACTTGAGGAAAAAATCTTTCTGAGTTTCAGGTAACGAGTTAGATACAAAATGCTATGAAGGAGACTTAGTATGCTTGGAATTACCTTCATTTATTACATTTCCTAGTGCATTTCCAAGATTCACAAAGGTACTCTGGTTGAAATACTGAAAAATGTGTCTAGGAAGGAAGGGGAGATGATTGCAAAACAAGGAGCTAGCTGAGTAAGGTTTTTTAAAAATAGGAACAGAGGAGCTGAGGTTGTAGCTTGGTGGTAGAGCACTTGCCTATTACTGTGAGGCAGTGGGTTTCATCCTCAGCACCACATAAAAACAAAGTTATTGTGCCCATCTACAAATATATAGGAATAGAGCTAGATTTGTAGCTCAGTGGTAGAGAGAGCTTGCTTGGGAATTGTGATGCTCTGGACTTGATCCATAGAACCTTAAAAGAAAAAAGAAAAAAAAACCATTCCAACAAAGAAATAGGGTAGGAGGGTAGCTAAATATGAACTAGAGAAAGAAATCAGTATCTAAATAAAACTGGGTTTATCTTAATGGAAATATCTTGTTCATACCAGGTATACAGAAGTAAGGTGAAAGTGTATTCTTAGTTAGCTAAAACATGGTGGTATTATGCTTATAATGGGTTGGATTTGAGTAGATGAAAGATCTTTTAATATCCACTTCCTTAGCTGGCCTCTTGTTTTTTTGCCTTTTCCGGAAAGTCTCATAAATAGAATCATATAATATTTGCCCTTTTCAGACTGGCTTCTTTCACTTAACAATATTAATTTAAGGCTCCTTGGTGTCATTCTGTGGCTCAACAGCTCATTTCTTTTTAGTGCTGAATGATATTTCATTGTATGAATGTACTGCAGTTTGTTTATTCATTCATCTACTAGAGGACATCTTGGTTGCTTCTGTTTTAGAAATTATGAATAGGTTGCTAAAAACATTCATGTGCAAGTTTTTGTGTACAACATAA